GTATACACTGTTAAAAAAGACTATGTAATTTTGAACACAATTTCTTTGCATTATGAATAGAAGCCCTTCAACAGTACAGTTTTAGAGTACATAGTTGCTACCCTAGATTTTGCTTTCAGCTGGTACAGGCAGAAACCATGTTTTGTCCATTATTTTCAAGGTATACAGTACAGTGCCACTCAGTCAAGATTTTTCAAGAGCCACAAATGGACAGAGACAATAGAGTGAATGTGAATATGGTTATATTAGGTGGCATCCCACCTGCGAAACTAGAATTCTTGTGTCCATATTCACAGGAAAAATGTCAATAGATGTCTATAGGTCAGTGATGGCTAACCTTTTCAGCACCAAGTACCCAAAGCGTGCATGTGCATCCCCAAAATACAACACGTGCGTGCCTCATGCATACACCCCACCCCTGCACATGCACTTCCCCATGTCCCCCCATGCATGTGCATGTGACCCCTGTGTGTGTGCCCCCCCGCATGCGTACATGATTCCCCATGCGTGTGCCCCACTCCCTGCGCATGCGTGCATGACCCCCCACCTGTGCGCACCCCTGTGCATGTGTGGCAGAGACCTGAAGACCAGCTGGCCAGCAGGAAGCGCGCATGCACGTGCAGCGGAACGTGCCATTGGTTCGCCATCACGACTATAGGTAGTCCTCAATGTACAACCAAAATGGGGCCTAGAGTTTCAGTTGCTAAGTGATGAAATTGTAAAGCAAAATGTCACATGACCGCAACCGCAATCCTGGTAATCCCCGTTTCCATCATTAAGTGAATTTTTACCTATTATTAGCTGAAGGCTCACCCCAAAGCCAAAGGGCACAATTGAAGGGATGTAGGCCATTTGGGCAGTTGCAGTGCTCCTGCAGCCAAAGGTGTGTGGGGGCGGGGGGGCACCAAATACTCACATTTTGATCATGTGACGGAAGGGCCCTGCAATGGCCATAATTTTGGACACAGGTCGTAAGTCCCTTCATTCAGTACCTTTGTAACTTCAATCACTGAACAAATGGCTGTAATTTGAGGACTACCTGCATATCAATATAAAATTAAAGATAGATAATTGTTCATCAGAACAAAGCTTGCTATTTAAATGAATAAGAATGCAGCAGCAACTATTTTTTACTTTGCTATGACATTAAAACTTTCAGTTATTTAAGTTTTATAGTGAAATTCACCCAAGAGGAGAATATTCTGCCCAGAAAGTCAGTACAGAATGCTAAGATTTTAAACACACAAGAACTCATACCGTGTTTTTCCAACAATACAGCCTCCCCCAATAGGAAGTCCCAGCATGTTTTATAGGCATAAAATCAAATTAAGCTCCTCCCCCCAAATTAAGGCCTATATTAAACATGCAAAATGGGGGGAATGGCAGGGGGGCTTGCCGTTAGGAAGTACTTTTGTTGCATACCCGGAAATGGTGCTGCCTGCGTTGACTTCGGTGTTGGTGGGGCACTTCGTATCAGGAGACCTTTCACCACCTCTGCTTTCCCTTCTCCCTGTGCTGCTGGTGTTTGGCGCAGCCACACACAGCCAGCCAGGACTCCTCCCTGCAACTGGAGCTTGGTGAAGACACTTGGCTTCAGGTGCTCCTGTCGCTGCCTTCCCTTCGCCTTCAAAGGCAAAGCCAATTCTTTTAAAAATGACACCCTACTACTGGTAAGACAAAGCCTCCCCTGCCCGAGAGGGCAGCCCAACCCCACATAGGGAGGCAAATCTCCCGGGGCTGCAGCGCAGGATCGGCCCACCCCGGGAGAAGTGCCCAGCCGCCATCCCTGCCTGATGCTGGGCAGAGCACAAAGAGCTTCACCTGGAGCGCCCAGCGCAGCTGACAGGCAGGCCCTCCTGCCCGGCGGCAGAGCTCTCGCCAAGGCAGTGAGCGCCTCCCCACCAGGCCCTCCGCTCATCCCGTCAGGGCCGCGCCGAAGCCGGGTGGGCTGGGCAGAGCCGGGAAACTGAGCTGTGGGTGCGTGCCCGCCTGCCAAGCGAAAGAGCCAGGCCGACCGAGCTTGGCTTCCTTCCCAAGTTCCTCTAGCCCAAACCCGAGGGGTCCACTGGGAGAGGCTGCCCGAGGCAGTGATAGCGCCCACCCTTCCACGGACAGGGAGGCAAGGTGACGGCAGTGCTGCTTCCCTAGCCAGCGGGTCCGGCGGAGAGAGCCCGAAGCTGCCCATCCTTTCCATCCCTCGCCCAGCCCGTCCCTGTCCCTACTGATCTCCAAATGCACCGGCAACTCCAAATGCTCCAGCGGCACGGGCATTGGGCAGAAGTGCTCACTCACGGGGCTCAGCTTGGAGGATGCTGCGCAGGCCTTCGCCTTGCCTCCCTGTCCACGGATGGGTGGGTGCTATCACTGTCTTGGGCGGCCTCTCCTGGTGGCCCCTTCGGGTTCGGGCTGGAGGGACTTGGGAAGGAAGCCAAGCTTGGGTTGGCCTGGCTCTTTCACTTGGCAGGCGGGCGTGCACCTGCAGCTCACTTTCCCGGCTCTGCTCAGCCCACATGGCTCTGGCGCGGCCCTGGCAGGATGAGCGGAGGGCCCGGTGGGGAGGCACTCGCTGCCTTGGTGAGAGCTCCGCTGCCGGGCAGGAGGGCCCACCTGTCAGCTACGCTGAGTGCCCCAGGCGAAGCTCTTCATGCTCTGCCTAGCGCCAGGCAGGAATAGCAGCTGGGCGCTTCTCCCGGGGTGGGCTGAACCTGCACTGTGGCTCCGGGAGATTTGCCTCCCTATGTGGGGTTGGGCTGCCCTCTCGGGCAGGGGAGGCTTTGTCGTACCGGTAGTAGGGTGTCATTTTTAAAAGAATTGGCTTTGCCTTCGAAGGCGAAGGGAAGGCGGTGACAGGAGCGCCTGAAGCCGAGTGTCTCCGCTGGGCTCCGGTTGCAGGGAGAAGCCCTGGCTGGCCATGTGTGGCTGTGTCAAATGCCGCGGCATTGCTCTAAATGCCACGGCAGCACGGGGAGAAGGGAAAGCAATAGTGGCGGAAGGTCTCCTGATACGAAGTGCCCCACCAACGCTGAGGTCTACATCCAAGCCGTCGCCGCCCTCCCGCCCAAGGATGCAAGGGGAGGGAATTAAGCCACCCCCGAAAAGACGGTCTAGCCGTTTTTTCGGAGGTCAAAAAAAAAATCAGGCCTGGCTTTATTTTGTGAGAAACACGGTAGCATTTTTCTTTACTCGCTTTTTGATTCTCAATCCCTGTTCATTTCCAAGACTTTAGAAACAGCTTAAAATTGGAATGGTGCAACATAACCAACTGGAGAAACTTCACGGGAAATATAAAATCTGCAATTACATCAGATGACTATTGCTATTATTTTCCTCTGACACAAGAACGAAGGATAAAATGTAATAACTTATACAAGCTGTCCAGCTGAAACTATTTCACAACTTACACTTTCCTTTTTCAAAAAACAATGTAGTGAAATATATTCTAACATTTATAATGTATACCATCACGAGTGCCTATTTTGTCACATGTACCAAACATTAAGTATAATGATTCTTAAAGGAGTAATATACTCATAAATGCCTGAAAAGTTTTTTGAAGAATGAGGGGTAAACAGTTCCTCTTAAAGTTTGTGATAATGTGCCTCATTATCAAGAGCTCGCATATTTTCAATATCCACCCCAACTCTGTGGTATTATTATAATTTTGAAAAGGTCAGAATGACAAAGATGTTGATATAAAAGAATCAACATGTTGCAGGCATGAACTTTGATCAGATAGGGTTTCAAGTCGGTTTATAAATGAAAAATGTATCTGACATCTTATGATTAGTCTTTAAATGATAGTATATTTTATAATGAGCAATTAAACTTTTAGTACAGATAAATTTAAATAATATGATTCGTTCTGTTGTCCTTTGTAACCTGATGCTGTGAATGAAAGAAATCCTTAATTATAACTCTGAAATAGTTTATTAAAGTACTGTGTTCTTAGCATTGTCTCTAGCATGACTGCCATGATATCTCACCATCTTCTTTTCCCTTTCAAGAACTATATCAGATAATATATTATCCCATTCTATAGCCAGAAATACCATGCTAGATAATGGTGACATACCCAGTGCTATGCAACAAGACAATTAAACTGAGTTAAAGTGAGCTCAGAAATATCTGGCAGGAATGGAAAACCTTGTGGAATTAAGACATAGATAGTCCTCAACTTATGACCATAACGGAGCCCAACATTTCTGTTGGTGAGACAGTTAAGTGAATTTTATGACCGTCCTTGCCAGTTAAGTGAATCACTGCAGTTGTTAAGTTAGTGCAGGTATTCCTCGACTTACAATCATCAAATTTCTGTTGCTAAGTGAGATGTTTGTTAGGGGAGTTTTGTCCCACTTTTACTTTTCTTGTCACAGTTAAGTGAATCACTGCAGTCGTTCAGTTAGTAAGGTTAAGTGAATCTAGCTTCCCCATAGACTTTGTTTGGCAGAAGGTCGCAAAAGGGGATCACATGATCGGGGGATACTGCAACCGTCATAAATATGAAAAAGTTGCCAAGTGTCCAAATCTTGGTCACGTGACTGTGAGGATTCTGCAATGGTCGAACCCCTGAAGCTTACAACACACACTTTTCCTAGCTGAATCTTAAAATTGGGCACAGCACTCTTTCATGTGGACTCTCAGATGCATGAAGACAGAATGGGCAGCTATGCAGCTGAAAGCCGAATGATTTTCTTCAGGGAAGAAACAAAACCAAAAAAACATGCAAACCCTCCGACGAACAAGGCAATCGCATAGTATAGTGCTCGAGACACCTTGGCCGCAACAGCATCCCACGACACTGGACCCGTTGCAATGTAGAAAACGACGCCCGGCCGAAAGGGGGCGCTATAACACTCGGCTTTCCCCTAGTAGCTCGTGAGTCGACAATCGTAGAGGGGAGGGGGCGAGGAGGGGAAAAAAAAAAAAAAAAAAGGACCGAGGTCACACATGCGCAGTCGGGGTAGGCAAGGGAGGTCAGCGCAGGCGCAGAAAGGCCGACGGAGCTGAAGGCGGGGCGCGGTGGTAGTAGGCCCAAGTCAACAATATGGCGGCCAGGGGTTGCTACGGTACCCTAGTTTGAGGGGGGTTTCGGAGGCCTCGCCTCTCTATTCTACCTCAGATCTTCCTCAGCTCGCCCGCCATGGCCCGGCACAGAAATGTCCGTGGCTACAACTACGACGAAGGTAGAGCAAGTTGCTGTCTCTGTGAGAACTTCTTATTGCCTTCCTTTCGAAGCGCCCCTTTTCCTCCCGAGAGGACCTGCCTTCCAAGGCCGGGGCGAGGAGCGTTAGTGACATCACTAACGGTCAGCCTGCGGGTGGAGGGGGGGGTTGGAGAGAGAGGGGAGTGGGGAGGAAAGCGGCAGGGAGCCAAAGCAGGTCCGGCTCCTGAACCCGGAGGGAGGGCTGCTTGTTATCAGCTAGGCCGGCTTACGTGGATAGGTGCTAATTCGGAAAAAGGTGGCTTTCCCCCCGTTTTTACTTGTCCCCCAAAGACCGTCTTATGCACGGAAAGGCTCGGTGATTTTGAAGCCAGACGGAGTGGTCTCCATTGCTCAAATCTTGACAGACTGCTTCCTTTCCGTGTGATAAATGGACGTCAACAAAGTACGGTGTTTGAAAACAACTCGACGTTTACCCGGAGGTTCCCCGTGGGATGCCTTTGATGAATGAATGCTAGAGGCAAAAAAAAAAAAAAGGGTGGGGGCGGAGGGTCGTGCGTAGATGTGATTGTGTTATCTCACAGCTGAGCGTAGGGGTGGACTGGTTGCCTGGGTGGAAAGGAAGCGGAGATAACATCTTGTTCTTACAGAAGAGGCAACACAGAAGTGAGCTACCCAGATGTAATAATAAGGCTTGCTTCCGTTTGAGTGTCCCCTGTTAAACATTAAGCTGGTTCAAATCGGCCACACCTTTTGGATATATTTAAGAAACTATTCAGATGCCTGCATCCAAAACAGGTTTTGGATTCATAAACAGGCTTTGGATTCATTCGTATATTGAATGAGAGATTTAAATCCGAATGGTAAACTTTTATTTCTAAATCTTGTCCAATGATTTGCAAGTGGACCTTTTCAGATTGTTAAATGTGTACTTAATACTGGGTTAAATCATGTCACCAACCAAAAGGATCCTTTAGTCCCCCCAACATATCTTGTTTTTAAACATCGTTATTTCATCCCTGTTGGTATTCTTTTATTTTGTGACTCTTTTATCTACACTATTCTCTTTTAGCATAAACGTAAGAGAATATTTTAAACCCTCATCCGAAGTTCAGAAATGTAATGATTCCATACAGACTCTGAAAATAAATAATTTTTAAACTTAAGTATTATGCTCCTATTAGGTTACTATAAGTGATGGTGTTACATCAACTTTAAAGATTGCTATGAAAGCAATTGCCTACTTGCATTTAATTTCTCCTTGCATGCCCTTTGAAATTAAGAATAACTTATACACCAGAAGGAATAGCAGATACACCAAAAGGAATATCTTCTGTGTATACAGTATGCATGCCTAGGTAAAACAGGTATCCTCTGTCAATCGCTATATTTGCTTCCTAGTTGCAACTGTCTGGTACAGAAAGGGCTTTTGCTTGTGAAATAAAGCACTTGAATTGGCCTGATCTGTTGAGATTGGCTTATTTTCAATATCTAAATATTGAGATTGAACTTTTAAAATACTTCAAATTCTGCAATTTGGAAAATTACGTTTATATTAATATTTAATATTAACACAGTAGTTCAAGCTTATTTCCTCAAGCAGAATATATTCTGCTTTAAGCACAAACTGCATTGGAAAAATGAAAAATGCTAAAAATGTCTGAAACCTTTCTTGCAGAATTTTGTACTTATTGTTTATTGTTTTTTATGGGCAAGTTATAAGTTCTAAATGTATTGGAATAAGAAATATCTGAAAAGACCTAATGTATATTCAGGAAGAAGATGTAAATAAAAGAAATTCGGGAATTAAATTGTCTTTAATTCTTATATTTAAAAGGACTCAAATGGAAATGCTATTTAATTACAATGTATCCTAATGCTTGCTAGAATAAAATAAGACTATTATTCAAAACTACAGCTATGAGAAGGTTGGTTTTGTTTTTGTGCTTCAGATTTTGAAGATGATGACCTTTATGGGCAGTCTGTAGATGATGATTACTGCATCTCACCATCAACAGGTTTGCATTACATTTTGCTAGTATTGTTTTATGGCATAGGTTTGCACATTTGATGTATAACTTTAGACTGCTATATCTCTGCAGTATGGGAACTAGAATGAACTAGAGCAGAGGTCCCTAACCTGTGGGCTGTGGCCCACAACTGGGCCTTGGCCTGTTGGCCACCAGGCTGTGTGAGTGGCTGGACAGTACAAACATGCATCCCTCCAATTGTGCTAGCGTTGCAAGCATTGCACAGGCGCTAGCACTGCAAGTGTGCGTGCCTGCGACACTGCGTCGTGTGCACACTTGCAGCTCCATTTGCACGTGCACATGCACACATAAAGGTGCCCCTCCCCAGGCCACCAACCCAGAATGGTTGGGGAACTCTGAACTAGAAAACCTGTGACCTGTTGAGGTATTGTTTCAGAGATTCCTTAACAGATTGCTCAATACCTTCAACATGGCAGAACTTCAAAAGTTTTTAAAAATTCAGGAAGATATTTAAAGATGTATCTGCTTAAAAGTAGTCCATGTTGAACTCTATAGCGCTATCAAACATTAGAAGTTTCACAGGAAATGTTATGACATTTTTCATTATGTCATAAAATGCTTTATAGTAATTTGTATGACATAAAATGTTTTATAAAATTTTCCAAATTACACTTCCACTGGAGTCATGCGTCCTGGATTTTGAACTCTTTCTGTAAGTTACTTCATTTGAAGTACCTTGATTGAAAAAAGTTTCCAAATGATGTAGTATTTAGTATAAACTTCATATATATAATTAGAGGATGTATTTAAAATGACTTTGGGGATTATTAGTACCATATGATTATGCTAAGAACAAATACTCTTTCATCATCTGTAATGAAAATTTTTAATTCGATTAAACATTTAAAAGACAAACTAATTGTCCCAGCCTCATAATTAAACAAACGGCTAAGAATAAAACTATAAAAATTAGAATCAGATTTGAACAATACCTATTGTGAATTGGTAATAAATATTTGTAGTTTTTGAAAAGACATCAAAAGTTTAAGAATAGAAAGACAAATTAATTATGGACATTTCCCCCAGATGATCCTTGTTTTGTTCTTATTTTATTCTAGCTGCTCAGTTTATTTATTCAAAACGAGATAATACTTCAGTCTCTGCAGAACCTTTAGAGGAATATGATTATGAAGACTCTGAACATAGCAATTTTATCTCCAGTCACCAGCTGACTAGACTTGAAAAAGGTATTATACAAATAATAACTGTCCTTCATTTAATGTGTATACATTGTATGTTCTGTGTATTGGTTTACAGAAATATTTGATTTTCAGTAAACTGGTATATTTGGCTGATATCTGCCTTTTAAAAAAGTAATCCAACAACTTAAAATCTGTGTAAAATGTCTAACACTAAGCAAATGATGGTAGAAGATGGAAAGACAGACAGATGGGGCAAGGAGACATGCTATCACTCCCTTTAATCTACCTTGTTAGATCACATCATTTCAATAATTCCCAGTGAAAAATACTCAGAAATTACTCAGAAGCTAGTCTGTTTCACTCTAGTAAATGTATGCTTTGAAGAATTTTACAGTTTCTATAAAGTGGCTAGTGTTTCCACTGCCACTAGAGTATCTGTAATTTATACTTTATTAGCATGCTTCTTATGCCAATGGACATGTTAAATATTTCTGTATTAATTTGCAGAACACTATGAACTCAAATATGACAAGGATTTATTTATTGATTAAATTTATGTGGTTATCTTAAAAATATAACTCTGGACAGCTAACAATACTTAAAAACAGAATAAAAGCAATATAACAAAATTACGTATAAATGAAAGAATACCAGCCAGAAACCAACCCATCACAAGAATTAATAAAGCCATCCAATGGCTATCCCATACCTCCATGACCTCAAGCTTGATGTCAAAACCAGGTTTTCAAAGCCTTGCTAAAAGTCAATGGGTTGGGATAAGTTTGATCTCCAGGTGACTGATATTGCAGCGGTTGAATATGATGACAAATGTTTTTTAATGGATTCAGCTGGAAGACATTTCTTATGAATGGAACCTGGAGCATGCCTCTTAATGGATCTACAGGATGGATACCTACAGTTGCGGAGACATAGTCCCATAAGTAACCCATCCTCAAAGTTGACTACCAGCACTTTGAATTAAAATCAAAAGTGCATAGGCAGCTAGTGGAGCTTATGGAGCAGAGTGTCTGGAGATTCACATCCAGGTTATAGTTGTCTCAAAGGTGCTTTTTTCTTCAAAAGGCAACTGGACTGTTTCATCTTTGAGGAAGAAGAAGAAATCGTTTTGCTTTTTATCCAAGAAGTTTCATCAGTTCTGATGGCAGGGGTACTAACAGTTAAAGACTGGATGGTGGAGGGATGGAAGGATAAGCTCTGATAGGATGGTGTGGGGGATGAAAAGATTGTATTTCTTTGCAGTCATCTGGTGGTTAGCATTCTGAGAGCTGTTGAGACCACTTGGGGGTTTATCTCTGCCCTCAGGGTCACCTGAATCAGGATGCAATTGGTTGCAGAATCTTCTTGGAACTGCTGCAAGGACTGTGTTATAAACTGAAGATAGATGGTGTTTTATTCCTTCCCATCTGCTGAGGAAAGGGTATTCAATTCTAACATAGATGGATTCTTTTACCCCTCTTTCACACCCAATGGTCTTCTCTATCCACAATCTGGACTTTTGCTGTCTTCAAAAGATGACCTTTTTCTTTCAAATGCAGATGGACTACTGAATCTTGTCTTGATGGGTATGATCTTCTATGTTGTGCTATGCATTTGTTAAGTGGTGGTTTTATTTCACCAATGTACAGATGTGCATATGTTTTGCTGCATTGTATTGCATATATCACATTGCTCAGTTTGTGCTTGGGTGTTTTATCCTTGGAGTTAACAAACTTCTGCCTTAGTTATTCTTGAGTTTAAAGTGTACATGTACATTGTGTTGATTGAAAATCCTCAGCTTTTCAGATATTCCTGCCATGTATGGAATGGCAATGTTACTATGTTTGTTGTTCTCTTCTGTAATGGAGGAGGTTTTGCTGGGTCTTTTCTTGGATTTGATGAAGGCCCAGTTAGGATAACCACAAGTTCTCAGGGATTCCTTGATGTGTTTTAGTTCTTTTTCTTTTCCCTCTTCACTGGTAGGTAAATTTTCAGTCCAATGGTGTAGAATTCTGATCACTCCCATTTTGTGTTCCAGTGAATGGTGAGAATCAAAATGCAGATACTGATCTCTGTGTGGGTTTTCTGTAAACCTCAGTGTTAAGGCTTCTGTGTTTGCTAATCTGGGCAAATTCTAATCAACTTCACCGTTTTTCCTTTGCAGGTATTTGTAAGTTTTTTTTAAACTTTGTACATATAAAAGTCTTGACACTATTATATAAAAAATATAGTTTGAAAATGTTTTTCAATCTATACTTGAAAACCACTTTTAGAGTATTTGTGAGAAGCTGAAAGAAATGAAATTTTGATTTTGGGATTTTGGGTCATTCATTTAAATACTTTTAAAAAAAATTTAAATAAATTGATCTTCAAATTTGCACTCATCTTAATCTATTTCTATAACCTTTTATAATAGTATTAAATGTATTAAAAATATTGAATAATAAGTTCAATGTTGGGGCTACATGTATGCCTATGCTTGCTCCAAAACATCCCATTGCCTTCCGATTTGAAATGCTTCCAATCTGAAATGTACTATATCTTAAAAGGACATGAAATGTGTATTTTTTCTTCCTGGGTTAAAATGGTGATTATTGTCTAAAAGAAATTAGAATATCTATTTTCAGCTGTTTGCATTATTATTTTCTGCAAGATTTCCCCCCAATAATTCATTATTTCATCCCATTATTTAGCTCAGCTAAATTCATGCCTTGATCATATGAAAGAAGTTCTTGGAAATACAGTGCCAGAAAAATTGCTGGTGGAAGCAGTACTCAGCAGTAACTTTGATATACAGCAAGCTTTGGACTCCATCCTTGCACAAGACAATAAGCAAAATGGGAAGACCAAGAATGAGGATAATGTAATTGTAGGAAAACCAACTAAAGGTACGTTCATTTGCAGAATTAACAGGTAAAGTTTTAAAAGGGCACTTTTTATGTGTGGGACTCAGTCTTGGACTCAGTTTTGACTGCTGGTCATTTACATGAGCAAGTTCATGCAGTTTTCTTGGCAACATTTTCAAAAGCACTTTGCTGTTACTGTCTTCCTAGCGCTAAGAAGAAGTGCCTGGCTCCAGGTCACTTAATTGGCTTTGTGCCTAAAGCCAGGCTTGAACTCACCATCTCCTAAGTTCTTTAGTTAGGACCCCAAACTTTCTACGAAAAAGCACTTTTCTTTCTATAAATTGAGTAGCTAAATAATACATATAAATGTAACACAAAAGTGCTACTTGGCATACAATTTAAACTTAGTCTCACAAAGATAAATAGTGCATCCTGTAAATATTTTAATAGCAATATTAATTAAATTGAACATATGTGAAGTTGAATTCATGAACGTATAATGTATTACTCTAAATACAGTTTCAATAATGTTTGTTAATTAAATGCCTTTCATGTTTTTTTTCCTTGATTTTGCTGCTGCCTTTCCTGCTTGTAAAATTGAAACTATCTACTGTGATCTTGCATCTATCTTGGAATTGTTGGCTGTTGTAAGGTAAGGCTTATTTTGTTCAGAAATATTTTCTAATATTAATCACTTGACTAATTTGGTTGAAAACATTTCTGATTCCACTGGTTTCTCCTTTACTTTTAATGGTCCAGTTGTCAATGCTGAATCCACTTATAATACTTCAGTTCCAAATGATAAAATTCTCTTCAGATCCAAATGTTGGAAAACTCCCGCTAAAAAGAAAACTATCACATCTTCATGCAAATCCTTGGAAATTATTCCTTTATCATTAAGTGATGGCAATGAACAATCCAAGTGTGACACCCTCCCACAAGCTGAGAGCAATAGCACTACAGCTGGTGAATCTTGCATTGAATATAACACTTGCTTTAATTCGGGGACTGAATTGCTTAAAAAAAACCTATCAGAAAAAACTTCTTGGAATTGGTCTGAGTTTAAAGACCTTAAAGACTTAAAAGATATACTTCGTGAAACAGGTGATTCATCAGATGCACAAGCTGGTTCATTAATCATGCCACAGAAAAAAAATAATTGTGGACTCAAAAGCTGCTTGAATAATTACTTTGATAATTTAAAACTAGATAATGTAAATACTACATCTAATAAAATGACTGAATCTTTTGAAAGCAAAAACAAGTGTTGCTTTCAAGGATGCAATAGCAATTCTTCAAAGGTTAGCAACCGAGCATTTTCAATGTCTGAAAGTCCATCACTGGCTGATCTCCTGCAGGAGCACCAAGGAAACAATTCAAGCAAGCCTTGCTCATTGCATAATCTTTGCAATTTACCCTCAGCAGACCTTACGGATATGGAATTAGAACATTCAGCGTTGTCTCAGCTTGCCAATCATCTTCCAGTATCATGTGGCATGACAGAACTCTCAGGATCCTTATCTTCCTTGACACATTCTAAGTCATCTCCAGTAAAAGAACTTGAGAGTTTATCACTTTCAGATTTAATTGCAAAATCTATTGCAGTAGACAGCCCTGAAATAATAAACAGCCATTCAGAATTTCATTTAGCTAAAAAGGTACAACCTTCAGTCGTAAATTCAGATATTGATCTAAGTGTACTTATTAGAAAATCAACATTATCACCAGAGCCCGAAGAAATACAATTAAATACAATGGTTCCAGAAACTGAAGCCTTATTTTCAAAGCAGGGGCAGCGAATGTTTTTAACTAAAGTAAGCAAGAAAAGCAAAAAAAAAGTGAGGTCACCTATTTTAAAAGGCACAGTTTCATGGGCAAAAGCTTTGTGTGCAAAGCCCTCCACTTTTGCTATAACTTTATGTCTTCATTACCCTTCAAAGAGATGTAAACATCAAAATGTAAATATTCATAAGGCTTTTTTGTATAGCAGGCAAATACAAGAAGCAAAAGTTAATGAAATTGGACCCTTAATGGCAATCACTCCATTTGATTTCAAATCACCATCTCCTGATGATATTGTAAAATCAGGTCAAAAGAAGGCATTCACTAGGTAGTGCAATGAACCAATGTTACTTTGATTATTTCTGGATTTTAAACTGTTTTATACAAGATTATTTTGGATTCCAAATTGGAATAGATTTTGTAAAAGCAAAATAAATTTCAGGTTATATTGGGTAGCTCAATTTTTAGTAAACATTTAAAAGGATACACTGGATTCTAGTCTTGTTATTGTTTTATCACTTATTGAATTATTTTGGTAGTTTGGAGAAATATTGTACAGTACTAAAAAGGAACAATATTAACTATGATTTCAGATTTACAAATTACATTGTGGAACAAATTCTTGAAAAAATATATTACTACAAGTAATTCACCATTAAGTAATTTTTTTTAACATTTGATATGCCACTTAAATACTTCGAAACATATATCTTTCTTTTCCTAATTTTTACCTATTAATTCATAAATCTGAGTTGCAATATGGTTTATTTATTTTGATTTTAGAATGAAATGCAAATCTGTCCACTGCAGTTTGTCATTTTTCAGGGATCTGTGCATAAGAAAATGAAAAACAGATCATATATGAATCAGCCTTTTCCTCCATCTTTTTGTCATACATCTTGAAAAATAAGTAACAAAGACTCTGTAATAGTGTACAAACACTGTTGGGTATCGTAGTAAACAATTTATAAACTTCAATGGAAGAAGTTTTACTTATTTGAAAGCCACCCTGGCTTTTAGATAAGTTCTACAAGACAGTATGTAAATTCCTTTTTTCACATAGAATATTGTATAGCCAATGATGTAAGAATAGATGGGAAGGTTATGTGATTAATCTACTTCCCACTGAGAATCCAATTCAGTGGGGCCAATTGAAGATTATTGATACAAGTTTTATGAGGATTATAGAAGAAAGATGGACTTGCCTGAACATGATTGGAGAAATATTGCAGTATTTGTATGAAGTGACCCAATCTGAAAATTCTCTTATTCCATAAGATAACGCTTATAGTATATGATAGGTCACACAGCCATTTTTGGTGGGGAACGAGAGCCTTGAGGGAAGGGCAGAAAAAAACAGATCCATGATATCAACTTGCTGGTTGAATATGCATCATTGGGCATTACAGTTTTTTTAAAAAAATATTTTTGTTTATTTTTTCAGTTAATGAAGTAACTTTTTTTTGCCCAAATAGGTATACATGATAGGGAACTGTTGCCAATCTTTTTTTTTTCTGGACTGTATTTCTAACCTGTATATATGCATATATTGAAATATATTAAAGATGCATGCTAAAACATTTTAGATGCATTGTTAAAAATAACATATATAAAGTGGTTCTTTAAAAAGTTTTGAAACTAATAAAACACTATTTCTATATTGATTAATAAAGGTATTTATTCTCCATGTAGTAAAACTTAGTAAATGACTAAATATCTAATTTTGCTTAATATGACCATATTTGGACACTTTAATCTTGATAGGATAATAATTTTTAAAAAACTTATGGGTGCACACAGCTCCTTCATTTCTCCCTGTGCAGTGGGCAAAAAAATTATAGAACTTCTACCCATAATTCCCCATGTCATTTTAACAAATGAAACTCACATCATCAGCTTTATTAGATCAATTGGGATTCTTCAGAAGAGGTGGTAGAATGTGGTAGAAAGACAGGAGGGGAAATACATTTTTGTTCAAAGTTTTCTTACCTGACATCAATACAAAATATATATTTCTTTATATTTAGTAGATACCTTAGCAGAATAATAGTGCATTAATATAACTGGGAATTGTGTGTGTGTGTGTGTGTGTGTGTAAGTGCATAATACATATGAGAGATAGGATGTAATATATACTTTTTACGCATGTAAAAATACAAATTTCATTCCATTGCATGGAATTATTTGTTGAAATTCAGGGAACTTGTTTATACATTTTTAAGAGAGTTAGAATAATGTCTTTTTGGTAATTTTCTGCTCCATGAAATTTTTTTTTTCTTTTTTCATTTTTGATAAATATTCTTACAATTCTGCCATGTATTCTTACAAAGTTCAGGTCTCCCAATCTTTGTAAATGTAGGGTTTTTCTCTATTTCCCATAGAGAAATTCAATAGATGAGAAAGCAAGGAAGAGGTCTTTATGAGAGATGTTGTTAGGCAGCTGTACACAATTATTAATTCAAATGAGGGAGAAACACTGTAATCATTTTAATGTTGTGTATTTATCAAAATATAGAACATCTATATTGTATATATCAACAAAATATTGTGATACATTTTTAAATATGGTATTTATGTATATATTTAGATTAAAAACAAATCTGTCCAAAGATGACATTTTATTTTTTTAATCTTATGATCATTATTTGTTTCCTAGACTGTTTTAATCTACATTTAGTTTTGAAAATGTTTCTGATGTTAAATATTTTTATGTTCTGAGTATAATCTTTTTGTGGAGATCATTGCTTTTTAATAAATTTTCTTTCTCCTGCCCAACATTCAGGATACAGAAACTTAGTATATACACTGGCCATGAGTTTACTGTGACATATCTCTGTTAAATGAGCTATTTATCCACTTATTCTCCAGTACTTAAACCTGCAATTTAAAGGTAGCCCAGAGGTATACTGATTTATAGAGCAGCAATCTATAGGACTGAAGGCTAGGTAGATTGTTATAAGTATGATGGATACTGGCCTATATATTGTAGATAATGATCAAGCTGCAAATTGTGTTTAAAAAGTGAGGGATAAAGTTGCATTTCTGGAGGAATCAAATGTGGATTTTGCATTCACATTTTATTAATGTTTTAAAGCTATAATCTTTATGTGGATAAATGTAGTACAATTTTACTTGTGTGTATTTTTGAAGAGTAAGATTGTTTAAATAATCCTTTAACCAATTTTTTTATGCTTACTTGGGGAATATAAAATGCACTAAATATTCAGAGTTTTCTGAAGCCAGCATCACAGTTGTTTTATGCATTCAGTGTTTTAAAATAAAATTGGCTTGTAATTTTCTTCATGAATTATATTCATAATAAAATTAAGGTTTAATCAGTTGGCTCACATTATTATTTTGTGTATTTTGGGGGCATCCAGAGTAACTGTTTGATTGAACTTCCATTAAGTAATGCAGTTTATTATATGTAATCAATGCTGGGAATGAGCTAGCATCCTGTCTTTTTTAGGAGGAGGATTCTTAGGAGTGAGCATGGTAGAATGGGAAATAGTTGATATCTTTGGAAGGTATTTAGTACATACTTGATATTTTGTCTCATATATTCTATGTTACGTTTAATTTTTTTATTTAGTTGGGGACAAAGGACAGTCTGATTACTATGTTTTTTGAGGAGGAAAAGTATATAGGATTTGAATGTACAAAAAGCAGAAAAAGACAGATGAATTACAAAGATATTCATGACGTTCTACACTCAGAAAAGAAGAAACCTCTAAAGTGACGTTTTTCTTTCTGTGTATAGTATATATATTGTGTATAGTATATATATATATATATATATATATATATATATATTCACTATGTTTTCCTTTGAATCAGGGATAATGGCGGGAAATCACAATATTTAATTCTGAATAACATTTTACATTCCCTTCTTTTACAAAGTTAAATAATATACCTTTAGGCCTAACATGCCTAAAAGTTTAATGGAAATTTGAATGTTATATATGAAAGTGTATTTTTAATCCTAAACTATCATGCCCATGTGCCTTTAATAGTTTTATTCACAATATTTAACATATATTTCTTGGCCCACCTTTTAAGCTCCCGTTATTTATGTGGTTAAATGTAGAGAAAAACCTCTGTACAAGCTACATCTCATTGCAGATTTCCAGGGAACCTGTATAGTTTATATATATAAATATAAATATGCGTGTGTGTGTGTGTTATTTAGCTTTGTTCGGATATTTTCCCACGTCATTATAGTAGTGCTTTTAAAGTTGTAGCAATGTTTCAGCAGAATCTCATCTGCCATCATCAGGCTTCTGTATTGTGTTCGTCAGACGATGGCAGATGAGATTCTGCCGAAACGTTGCTACAACTTTAAAAGCACAACTATAATGACGTGGGAAAATACCCGAACAAAGCTGAATAACAGACATGCAAGTACCCTTGAAAACTTAAGATATATATTTATATTTATTTTCAGGTATATTCTGTTTTTATTGTTTTTATGCTTTTATTATTGTTATTCATCATCCTTGGATTGTGTTACATAAGATGGACAGACATATAAGTCTTATATTATGTTCATATACAGTTATGAACATTCTGCTTACAACTGTATATGCCCTACGTTTCTTGCCAAACTAACTAATGAGTACAACAATATGCTTGAAAAAGTGCACAAAATCTATTGAAACTGTAGGAATTGAAAATATGAATGTTAACTTTAGATTTCTGAGATCTACACTAATATGACTAGCATACCCTGACTATGCAAAATAATAATAATTCCGAGTAAGCGAAGTTATGTAAATCTGTATGTAACTTTTTGGATGAAGAATTTGGATTGCCTTGCAGTAGATTATTTTATTCCTTATTAGTGTAGGGTTAAGAGAAAATACAGCTCTACTTAGCATGAACAAGTGGTGTTAACATCTTAGTACTCAGAAATCTTTTTTTCTGTCTTATGGATCACAAAAATACAACACGAATAAGAAGACCTCATTCAAAATAATGTAATTAAAAACATGTAAATATTGAAATAACTTATTTATTTTTTCATTATTCAGAACAATAAAATGCGGGGTATTAAACAATGTCTGTGTAAAAGTGTCTCTTGGGACATTTGCAAGTCACAGAATCTGTCTGATACAGCTGTGTGTGGGCTTCTGAAAGGAAGTGGCTTATGTCAGAAGCAGTGAGAAACATTTAAAAAAAAATTAAATTCAGTTTATATACACCTACACTGGAAAAAATGACACTCCAAGATCTTTTCCCTAAGATGTTGGTTTGCAATGTTAAAGCCAGCATACGGTGTTTTGGAAGAATATTGCTTAGAAAAGTGATAGTGGATTTCTTTGATATATATATATCAACCAATAATTTACATTAAAAAAAACCAGTAGGTTCAAGGTAAGATAATTTAACTGAAACAAAATTTATTTTTTGATGGTTATTCCATCTAAGGCTTGTTTTAGTATTTAGAAGTCCCATTGCAGAAAAATATCTATCTGATAAGGGAATTCACAAACACATATAATAACAATCTTGTGAGTTATAACTCACATTTTCATAATAAGGTTAGCTAGAAAACTTAATTTTATAAGGTTTTATATCCATCCTAGATTATTACCTTTTCACTTCAGGCAAGCATTGATAGCTTTCTATATTTCTTTTAATAGCTCTGGAAACAGCTTTGCAATTTGTCATATGTAACATTTTTTTTTTAAAAAAAGCCAAAATATTCAGAATATTTACTAATGTAGGTGTTTACTTACTGAAGTTCATATGCTGCTCCAAGCCGAGTCTAAGCAGTTTATATTTCCTTGTTAAAGATTAAAAATGTAAAAGCATATAACAAAAGAACAATGATCAGAAACAAATAAAATCCCAAGGAATACTATGATAACCAAATATTAATAAACAAATGCAGCCCATGATGAAGGTTCCAACTTATATTAGTTTGTTTCCCTCCCTTCTTTTTAAAAGCCGAGGTTTTATGGCTTTCCTAAAACAACTGTGTTGAGGTTAGTGTGAAGTTTAGAGGTAAATTGTTCTAAAGAGGAGGTCTGCAAAAAGAAAAAAACAAACCCTCAACTCCTTGGTCTATGTGGATGCCAGTCTCTTAGAGAATGGATTTGGAGCAGTTGTTGAACATACAAACATCACTAGGGACAGGTGTTCTGAAGATGCCCAGGTCCTGAGCCATTAAGAGCTTTAAGAACAATAACTAGTACCTTGAATTGCACACAGATGCTGATTGACAAAATACGCAACGTTCAAAGCTGGATATTAAATGGAAGGATTTTGGAACCCCATTACTTTAGCATCTTAATTCTGTATAGTTGAAGGTTCTGGATGATCTTCAAAGATAAACCTTCAAAGATATACCAGTTAGAATGAAGTATAATGAGTCCTCACAGCTACACAATCTTAAAATCATAGAATACTAGGTTGAAAGACACCTTGAAGGTCTTCTAGTGTCCAACCTCCTACCCAAGGCAGAAGTCCTTATAATATCTAGGACAAATGGTTTCTTATCTTTTCTTGAAACCCTCAAGCAATGGAGCACCCATCATTTCAAGAGGCAGGTGGTTCCACTGTTTAATAGTTCTCACTGACAGGAATATTTCCTCCATGTTTCCAAGTTAAATCTTCCTCTGATGAGTTTCTTGTCCTACCCCCAGGTGCTATGGAGAATAAATCAACACGCTCTTCGCTGTGGCAACCCTTTAAGTAGTAGAAGACCGCTATTATGTCTCCTTTCAGTCTTTTCTTTCTTAAGGCAAACATATCTACAGGTAGTCCTCA